AGGCCCACTTCTGTAAATGCAAAACCTAATACATTCTGAGAAATCTTTGCCCTCACAAAAACTTGATCCCTTCTGACCACTGCTTGGCTATCTGTAAAAGTACCTTAGGAATTTTGCTTAATTATCTGTGCTGGGCTGTTTTCTCAGCTGGTGAAATTAATGAGCCTTTTCAAAATTAGAGAGGTGCCATCAGAGAGTGAATTGCTGCAACAAATACAAAGAAGTAAGCCCAAGTACAAAACCACCTGGTTATCACAGAGGTTGCGGCCAAATCTTAGGAGGTGTTATACTGCAGGAGAATCATGCTTTCTAGAGCAACCATAGAACTGAAGTAGACAGTCCAGCTAAGCTCACTACCTCTGCTGTCCTTCTGGGAGCCAGCTATGCCAGCTGTAAAACTGAGGCAAAGATACTTTGACTAACGTCAGTGCTGACAATGAAAGAACAAAGAATTCTGATGAAAGCCAGATCCACTCTATTAAAAAAATTTAAATTAAATTTTAAGCATACAGTTTGAAAGTTGGAACAGGATTAGTCAGGTAGATTACTGAGGAATCATTAATGGAAAAAGCTATTTAGCTGGGTCTAAACAGAATTATAAAGTTCCTGTAAGGGGCTCTGAGATTAATAGATCTGGCCTAGATTTTTTTTTTCCCTGAAATAACATCCACATACAGTAATATTTACAACACTTCGGAAAGCTAGGACATTTTGAAACTAAGACAATGTCCATGTGTCTAGAGTATGGATCTTGTGAATATTTAATATATTAGAAAGAGATCTGTTTTTCTAACTGGATCAGACCTGTTTTATAAGTCCAAGATATTCATGTATGTGGTCACTCTTGTGGCTAGTTACATTAATCAAACTTTTCAAGTCTTGTCTCAGTGCCATATTTTGGTCACATCACTGTAAGTTTCTGTAGCAATAGCAAATATCATGAAGACATAATTAAACTTTACTTAAAAGAAATGTTCTGATATTTTCAGGACTAGAAACTTTGTCAGGACATTACAACATTTTGTATTATATTTAAAAAGCATATTTGCGTAAGTTTTTAACTATGGTGGCCATCAAAAAAATTCAATTTAATCCCAAAAATTTCTATATGCCTTTGGAAATCAGATGAATTATTTAAGTCTGTTTAGAAGCTGAATGTTATCCGGTCAAACATGCATAATTATTGCTTAATAATAATAATAATAATAATAATAGACTAATATAATCTCTACCAAAATAAAAACTGTAACAAAACAAAAAGAAAAGTATTCCCTCAGTGGCCACTTAGAAATCAGATGAATTTTTTAAGTCTGTTTAGAAGCTGAATGTTATCCGGTCAAACATGCATAATTATTGCTTAATAATAATAATAATAATAATAATAGACTAATATAATCTCTACCAAAATAAAAACTGTAACAAAACAAAAAGAAAAGTATTCCCTCAGTGGCCACTTAGAAGTGTTCTCACACATATTAGCTTATACACCAAACTAGCAATCAGATCACAAAATCGTGGTTCTTAGCTGATTCAATAAAAGATTAAAAAAATTGGGAATACTTTATAATTTGTTCACAATTAAAATGTAACTGGTACAGGAATGAGTCGTCTTATACCATTATTCTCATTCTTGGCTTGGACAATATTTGTAATGAAAGATCTTCCTGTCAGACCAAATATGGAAGAATGAGGGGTATGTGCCTTCTAAAGAAATAAATAAAAATTTAAAAAACCCTAAATGGGCCTATTTACCTTTCAAATTCAACAGATTCTTGGCCATCTGTTGCTCATAACATTGATTTTCATTCCTCTTGGCATCATACCTGCTAAAGTCAGTTCATATTAATGTCAGAGACGATGCACAAAGAATAAAAAATGTGTCTGCATTTCAGCTACTGAGGCTCCGGAGGAAGGAATACAATATTAAACCAGCAGATACCTGAATTCACCTAAAGAAACTCCATCTTGTCTGTACTTCATGGGTAGCCTTCTGTTTCTCTGTCTCTGAAGAGTTAATGGCTGAGTCAGGGTAGGAGGGGACAGCAGGTGTTTATTTTGAAGGTAGATATACTATTATGTAGCTTGTAGTCCAATGATCAGTATGCAAGTATACAAAGACTGGGGACAGCTGTGATGTACTGTGACAAACAGCGAAGTGTCATGCTGATTGATCTGTAGGCCCAGTGGAGAAGCCAGTCAATACCAGTAAAATTCATGAAGCGTTTCTTTCTGCCAGTCTGGCTGACACGCCATTGATGCATGCCGGAGAGCTAATGTCGTTAGCCAAGCTGTACCACAGCATCTGCCACTTCCACAAACCCATCAGTGACACCCACGGGTAAGATGGCATTTGGTTTATGCAGCCGATGACAAACCGATCAGTCGTTCTCAGCAGTCACCAGTAGTTTCTCAGCAATCTTGCAAAGACGAAGAAATGTGTGCTCACACAGTAGTAGGCTCTCATCCTTGCACATTAAACATGCATTGACCTGGTTTACTTTAATATGTGAATGTCAGGCTTCTGTTCCTCAATCACTGATTTATGCAGCGGAGTTGACACAATACAGCTTCTATAAGTAATAGCCATATTTATCCCCTTTTCTCTCTACTTGTCTCTGTGCACCAACCTATGAACAATTTCCTGAAATTCAGCTATTTATCTTCTCAATATGAAATGAAACCTGATACGTAATAACATAGGAAATGAAATCATACATAATGCTGTAGGAGTGAAAACAGCAGAAAACCAAGACAAACAAATCTAGCAGCAATAAGCAACACACCTACCTTAATTAAACCCTCCCTTACATTTTCTTCTTTATTGGGATTGATTAATTTAGGAACTAATTCTGGTTTCAAGAAAGCCACCAGAAAAATCTCTCACTGACTGCCAAAACAGAATCTAGCCCACTGGTTTTCCACCTATTTTCTTTCATACTACCTAAAACTGAATCTCATCATACATACCAGAAGAACAAAATGTGAGATTGCATGATTTTCACAGCAGATGAGAACACTCCATGTCTCTAGTAACAAGATGCTTTAGAGGAAGTGCATAAAAAAACATCCTTGCAGCAGCCTTTCCAGGATTAAACAACTGGAGTTTTCACTCCCAGCACCAAATTCCCCTGGTGACTGGACTCCCAACATTTCCATAAAAACTCCCTGAGTCATCAAATTCAGACCAAGAAACTGACTGCGGGCATGGAATTCAAGATGACCTGTTTTTCCCTGGTTACATTTTTGTCAAACACCCATTGGCTAACACCCTCAAGCATGGAGCTTTGACATCACCTTAAAACCTCGTCTGTATTGTTTTCGTACTTACTTTCAGAATTGGATATTATAATTTTCCCTCTAAAGGTCAAATCCCTGAATGAAATGTGTTTGGGCAGAGTCTCAGAAGATAAGGGTGCAAAAGTCTGTATCCTGAGTTGTCTGTCTGAGATAAAGAGCAATAAAGTTTCTCTTGGCCTGTAAACATATTACAGCAGATAACTTCTAAGATAAGCCTCATTTGATGTGGAAAAGGTTGGAACAAACTGAATGTGTTTAAATGATGATTATGGACTTTCAAGACTCCTACTGAAGTCACAAAACATTTTGTAGTAGAATAGAAGGCTGCCCTAAACTCAGTAACTGGTTGAGGAAGAAAGGTGTGACTATAAATGAACCTGTTGGAAAATCACTGTCACTACCTTCACTGCATGCTGAGACTCAAGATATTACCATCGCACTGCTGGGCCTCTGTTCTCCTTATCCTGAAAATCTGGTTAGAAAGAGGAGTCACATTCATCTCCATCAGGGGTGGCTAAATCCTGAGCAACATCTAAGAAATTAAGTTCCTGCTCAAATGAGCTAAAATCTTCTCTTACCTTATTCTTTCCACACTTTCCATTTTCTGTTCTCCACCAAAAAGAAGAAAAGAGCAGAAAATGTTATTGTCCCTCAACAGTACTGCTGACTTATTCCTCTTTCCCCAGCACATCTCCAGGGGTCTAACAAAAGGAAGAAGCTGAAGGGAGAAGGGAGCTTAATAAAATGTGGAGGGAAGGGCAGCTAAGGTAAGACAGGGATGACCAAAATCATTGTGGGAGTCTGAGGTGGCAGAGCAAGCAAGGAAAACATTGAATTTGCCATGAGGAGCTCAACGTAGCAGGAGAAAAAAACATGTATGTTTTGGACAGAGAATATATTATTTGCTGCAATAATCTTAGAAAATTTACTCAGCTTCAGCATAAATACCTGACCAATGGTACAGTGGTATATACATTTGAAAGCAGGATGGTTGACCGCAGCCTCTTTCTCTGACCTGGATAGAAGGGCTTGTGTTGCACAGCTTGGCAACATGGCCGCTTTTCCAGACTTCCAGGGGATGTTCAATCACTGCTGAATTCATTTCATTAACTTTTCTGCTGTGGGCATGACATGTCTGTAAATACTACTTTTTCTGTGTCTATTCATTGGGGAATTCTCCGGGCCCAGTAAAGGAGCCACCAGTATCACAAGTGGTTGTAGAAAGGGTTAGGAAACCATGAGTAAAATGGCATAGGAATATGGGAATGAAAGAGTAAAGAAAACTAGAAGAAAAATAGCCAAGCTGTGAGCATTAATATTCTGAAACACCCTTTTGAAGGGAGGAGGAAGGGAAGAGTGAATTAAATTTTTGGAGTAACATATCATATAATTTCTGATAGAATGATTCTAACTGATTAATTAATTATTCTGAATAAAACAACAGCTTTTTTGGGGGGTAAAGGGAAAAATTGTTTTATTTTTAAACTTCAAAAGTAAATTGATCATCTTCTCTATGTAACATTCAAGGTTAGCTTTTTCAGCATTCCTGCTTCAGTCAAAACCAAAAGACCTAATTTCAAGAGTGTTTGAGGAGCTTTTAGAAATAAGAAATACCAGTATTGCCTCTGCTTTCAGGATATCACAGAACAGTTGTTAAATTACGGAAACATATCACAGAACAAGCTAGAATTTGTGGAGCTTACCTTCCTACGATGGGATGGCACAATAAAATATGTTTCAATATTATGCTTCTTCAAGAAACTATTCCTTTCATGACCATATCCTGGTTCTACCTCGTAGTCCCCATTTAGGCACTCTAAGGTGGTCTTTGTAATGTGAACTTTCCTGGAGAGAAAAATCGGACGTTGTTGTTGAAATTGTTGTTGAATTATGTACTGAAATACACTCCTGTGCAGAAGATCATAAAGAGGTCAAGTTACGTGCAAAACCCCATTTTTGATGTAAAAAACCCTGTTTTGTTTTGTCTTTTCAGCCAAATAGAACATAGAAGTATTTCTACTACATGTATTTTCTAAACTTGAGCAGAGTGAACAGAAAGATAACTGTTGACTCTCCAAACACGTGCAGATTTGTTGATTTGTAGAAAGTGAAAGTCTGCACATCATCTTCCATGTTGTGTGGCTTTCTTAAGTGTTTACCTCACTGCCTGCTTGGAAAAACATCCTGCTGTTTGAAACTTGTGATTTCACACTCCGAATCTCTCCTATGCGTAAAGGAGAAACTTCTTTTTCTGTTCCCCTTCATGTCCCTGACTTTTTTCATTTACTCACTCTGTTTTGTAGGCAGCTTTCTAATTCACTTTGTTTTGGCAGCACAGCCATCTTTGACACTATTAGTGAGTTTTCTTATCCCGAAAACTGTCTTCACATTTTCTCCCAAAAGCCCCCTTATATTTGAAATGCCTTCACAAAACATATCTGAAAAGCTATTACTGCTTTCCTCTATTAAACATGTGTTCAGATTTTTATCACTGGAAAGCCTTAAGGTAAGGAATGTACAAAATAACACTGCCAAAATAGTCTAAGGCAGACATAGGTAACAAACAGAAAGTAACTCATCTTAACCACAAAAAATTAAGAGTTTCCATTTCCCCCTTGTTCAGCAAATCATGATCTTGTAAAAACCCAACAGAGGATGGTAGGTCCCAGTCCAAATGTGAGTTGCACACAGAAGCACACCCATGCACCTTTGCAAAAGTGCACTGTGTGCATTTAAATTGGGTCCAAGGCTGTCCAAGGAGTACTTAAAATTCCAGGATGTGCCCCATGGGTTGGCTGCAGGTTTATGTGCTACCGTATCATTTGTACACACACCAGCAATATTTGAGTGCATAAACAGGTACTTTTTTGCTATAGCACGCTACTAGTGTTAGAAATCTTGCCATGTAAAAGGAGTAAGGCACCCCCCCCCCCCCCG